GTTTCTTACGTTCGTTTTCTACCACAGGTGTTAATTGTTTTAGCCCGTCAAGTGTTCGACATCTGGTTTACAAAATTTGCTTTGCCTATTTCTATGAAAAAAAGTTACAGTTATGCTTACAGCACTCGAACCAAATTTATTTTATAATACAACACATTTTTTAATTGAGCGATTTTAATTTAATTCTTTGTTTAAGTCAAACAAGTCAGCTGTAAAATTTAAGCATCCAGAATGGTACGTAATCGCAGTCAAAGAACGCAAATATTCCTACCATCATGTTATATAGGTCAGGATTTCAACAAATCAAACTGACGAAAAGGTGTTTATCAATCAGTTGATTAACAGATACATGTATTTTTAACTTACACACCTGCCTTTTAATAACCTCAGGTGTGCATGAAAGTAATCAGGTTTGACAAAGGCTTAAACAGCGATTGACGTCAGAACCTGTCCGTATCTATCGTTGTTGTTGTTGAAGAGGTCTATAATGACTTTTTTCGACATTTGTTGATTTTCATAAACTTCAGTTATACAATAGTCCATTTCTGGTAAATACTAAAACCGTTCTTCATTCACAAAGTCATTACACGTGTGACAGCATACACACTGAAATGATGTATGTTTAAGTATGTCTATATATATATCAAAGAGATGTCCATAACTATATAAATTACACGGAACAGGATTGCAGACGAAATGAATAACGCGCATTAGCGCGTTACGATTATTTGTCTGCAATCCTATTCCGTGTTATACACATGTAGGACCAATCCTCGATATCCAGGGGTAACGCTCACTTTCGCTCTTTACACCCCTGGAATGTGTCATAGCAAAATTGAAAGCTCGAAGATAGCTGTTTGATTGGTCACAGGTAAAAAAAACACCTGACCAATCGCTAGGCTGATACCTATGCTTTGAACATTACAAAGGAGCGACACTCGACTTCAAAGCCTGTTATTTTTTTACCGTAACACGACCGCGAGATTCTTTTGGTGTACATCAAAGGATCAAACTAGTCTTCTTGTTTCATCAACAAGGTGGTAAACACTTAGCCTTCAATTTTCTTACGACATATTCCAAGGATTCAGAGAGCGAACGTGAGCGAAACCCCTAGATATCGAGGATGATGTAGGACCATAACTCGGGTGTTTGCCATGCATAACAATATATTTTTTTCTGATGGAGTTCTGCAATCTATTTACATTTATTAGATGACCTATCAAGAATACATAAATATGCATACATGATTATCTTTTTGTGGTTTCCGTTAGCGTTGCAAGATTTGTGCAGTGATGTAGGTGTTTTTTTCAGCACAGAAATCGATTCACAGTTATAATATAAGGCCTGTAAATTTAAAACAAAAGATATGAATAATTGACATAGAATTACGATATCGGTGAGACTGGGTTTCACAGAAGTTAAGTCAATAAAAAATTTTTTCCAACTTCTCGAATATGCGAGCATTATGATCCATATTGTGAGTCTGTCTGTCTGTCTGTGTGTCTTAATGATTTTCATATTATATGATCATGAGTCTACATGTTTTTATCTAAGCGAGGTTCTGCCAAACTAAACAGAATAGTGTTTTTTTCACGAAACTGAAACAACTTCATGAATTTTTTTATCACATAAGCAAGAAAATGTAGGAATAATGTTAAATTTTGATTTAGAAATTATCTGTTCCCAGTCAAGCTTTTCAAATCACCTTTTTTACTAAATGCATGTAGTCAGCATCGCGACGTTAAAATATCATGACATCATAATAACTTGTTACATGAGGTTGTATTATCTGGTCTGTATTACAAAAATGTACACCAGATTCATATGATGAGAATAGCTCTGATGTAACAGTCTATAAATATTATATACAACGAAGATAACATAACAGATGATATATCCGAGATTTTTGGCAGTCATGTTGGTTAATTCGGAAATATTACACATTTTAACTACGGTTCCTCTAGAGTTTTTCCTATTTTTGCTAATGTTTTTTTTATCGTGACCATTAAATTCTCCTCTACAAGGGTCCCAAATAAAGACACAATACCAAATAACTGAGGTAATAATGAAAATAAAACACTTGTGATATCACAGATGATTTAACATATTACACTAGTTTAATGTGCGCGTGATTACGGATGTTGCGTCCGCGTAATAAACCGAATGATATCTGCAACGTTATTTAGTGAAAAAAATGTTTGAACTTTCATTGATTACATACATGTTCCATCAACTACTTCTAACAATCTGTGATGTAGCATTCAAGTGAGGTGACACAATAAATGATGCCGTTGGAAGCACGGTCCCACTACAAACAGAACACATTTCATCTCCAGCGCACACACATGCATACACACATGGGGAGCTATTAGCCAGGTTGCATATGATTAAGTAGTAAGCGCCTTAAAAGGTGCTACTGCGAATTCATTAAAATTGTATTGATTAATGTATATGATAATTGTATTTATTGTATATCTATGTACTGTAAAGCGCTTTATAGTGGCTTATGTAAGATAGATGGCCGCTATATCAAATGTTGTATATTATAAACTGTTTTGTAATGTAACTAATAAAAGCAGCTGTAATATAATTTGTTGTTATAATGTTATTAATATAAGCATTTGTATATATTTTTTTATAATTTGTTTACTTTTAAAGACATTTTTATTACATAAATACATAAACACCACATACACCCACATACATACAATTCCCATTTGCATGGTTTGTCTTTTGCATCGTCATATCTTTCATCAGCATCATCCTCATCGTGACTGAATATCATCATCAGCCGTGTCAATCATCAACAATAGTAATACACCATTATCATCTTAATACATCATCATTCATCATCATCATCATCATCATCATCATCATCATCATATCATCATCATCATCATCATCATCAACATCATCATTCTATCAATCTATCAATCATCATCATCATCAACAACATCATCAGTCTATCAATCCATCATCATCATCATCATTCTATCACTCCATCATCATCATCATCATCATCATCATCATCATCATCATCATCATCATCATCATTCTATCAATCTATCATCATCATCATCATCATCATCATCATCATCATCATCATTATCTTTCTATCAATCTATCATCATCATCATCATCATCATCATCAACAGATGAATCCTCAATAATCATCAATACATCAATCATCTTGTATCATCATTGCTACCATCAATGTATACATATACAAAAATAAGATTAACGACCGACTAAAAAACTAGCTGCTTTTACCCTTCATAGGGCTCTTCATAATAAGGGTCCCATAATAAACCATATTTAACTTTACATTATATGTTCTTATATATATAAAAATAGATATTGACAACCATACACAAATACTCATCCCACCATATATTCTGATAAACATACACCTCACACACACTTGTACACCTCACACACACATACATCATACTAACCTGCTTACAAAATGCAACCACACACACAGACATTCGCACAGAGAAAACAGACTTGTAGAGAGAGAGACAGACAGACAGAGAGACAGAGAGACAGAGAGAGAAGTCCCATAATAATGCACATACATGTAAATAGTTTTACTTTATTCAGAAGTACATATGTAATTTAAAGAACAAAAGAAAAATGGCAAAGTCAAGGCTTGGGATTCAGGAAAAAATACATATTTATAGGATGACAGGTTATAATTCCAGGATAGGTTTCCGTTTTCTCCAATCAATTTCAAACTTCCTTCTTATGTAACTGTTTTTACTATTGTTAACATAGTTCTGAATAAAGAAATGGTCTTTGATGACATTGATAAGTGCATTGAGACTCAAAGATTTGTTAAGACATCTAGTCTTATATATATAGTGTTTGATGAGAATTAAAATTCCATTATCAACAGTACTCGCTCGTGGTGATAATATTCCAAAAAGTAACGATTCTTTATTTATTAAAACAGGGATTAGAAGAATGTCACAACGAGTTTCAAGTCTCTGCAGTAGTCCCTGCACTTCTTGACATTCCCATAAACAATGAACTATAGTTTCTCTTTCCATATTACACAGATTACATAAGGGACTAGGATGTACATTTGTTTTGAAAAGAAAAGTGTTAGTTACTAGAATATGGTGTATAATTCTAACTTGAAACCACTGCAATTTTGAGTTTTGGTGACTGTAAATGGAATTTTAAGTATTTTCTGCCATTTATCAATATCAAACTCAAACTCTTCATTGCATTTGTAATATAATCTGTATAATATAATGCAACTAATATAAGCAGATGTAATATAATCTGTTTAATATAATGTAACTAATGTAAGCAGATGTGTTTCATTGTGTTTAATATAATATTATTAATGTAGGCAGAGGGGTTTCATTCTGTTTAATATAATGAAATTCATTTTAGTGGTGACGCTTAGGTCTATTTAATAAAAAGCAACAAATAAAAACAGATTAACTTTGATTTATTAAATGTTATGCTTTATATGTAAAATGAACGTTACGCTTAACTAATTCAATGTAACGTTACTGTTGTGAACGCTCCAATATATGCTATTTCTTAAAAGATAAAAGTGTCAGCTATGTAGTCAAATAGCCGTGATTACGAAATAAAATCCTAACCAACTGAATTATCAAAGCATCTGCCACAGAAGATTCATATACAGAACAAGACATTGAAAATAGATTTATAAAGAAGTGTTTCCTTTTTATTGAAAATGTTTTATATCAGGACCGGCTGTATGGAAGTAGCCGAACCAATGACCAGAACTGGTGTACTTCGGTACCTCCCGTAGATTGGTATAATGGAAATCACAGAAACTAAACGGGAGTCCATTTGATTCTGTCAAATCGGTAATTATTTCTCCACGGTAAGGAAATAGAGGCGACCACTTGCGCGTGGACGAGGTGTTAGAAAATTGTAATGACGTCATATTCTCACCAGCATCTCGTGTGTATAAAATGCAGTTATTGACCAGTATTGGCCATACTCATCAACAGCAATAGTGTCGTGTGGAAACAGAACCGATTCAGCAACAGCTCCGACTATACGCTGTCCAAAATGTTGGTACTCTCATCAACTATCGTCGCCATGATAATATTATCATTATCAGCATCAGTGTCATCTTATGCAACCGGATATAGAAAAGTAAGTTGGTTTTGGCTGATTAACTGACGTTCACATTAAGAAAATATATATATATTTTAATACATTGTTCTTTTTTATGTTTCTTAATTTCAAACGCAATTTAATGATGTTGTAAATAAGTTCAAAAATGAGTAAAATATATTGATAGTTTGATATTATGCTTTTTAACAGTAGTTTAGACCGATTTGGAATTCCAATTTTTTGGCCTATTTCATCACCAATGATTTTTAAAGGGACGACTCAGCTGCATTGTTGCATTGTAATTCAATTTGGGCATTCTGTACCTATTACCAAATAACTTGAAATTTACAATCACCTGTATGTCTGTTATGTCCACCTGTATGTGTGTTATGTCCACCTGTATGTGTGTTATGTCCATCTTGCAACATATAAAAGACAAAAATAGTAAAAGCCACGGTATATGCAAGCATGCCTGAAACGTCAGGGTTAATAAGCAATGGGGACTATAAAAAGTTTAATTATTACAATGTAAGATAAAAATAACATTAAAATGTATATATATCTTTTTAATATTTGAAATGTAATGAAAAATAGTTCACGATATTGATAACCACTTAAAATGATAAGCAAGGTGGTTATAGGTAGTCGATGCGGAAAGCCAACTGAAGTAACTATTTACAGCACATGCTTTAACCTAATTTTCTGTCCACGGCCCTCACGATTGTCTAAGTACATATACGTTTCCGTCAAGTCGGTACCTATTCTCCTCGAAACAGGTCATTTACGTTAGTTGAATACCATCTATAAATACATCGTAAACCGCTACAATGCTTATGCATCTTTGGTCGGACAAATACTGAAAAAAGCAGAACAAATCAAACAATACGGAAAATTAATCCATTAAAAAATTAGTATATACTAGCACGTGCATAATTGAGTTAGTAAGGATCAGAACATCTTCTTATAAACTTAAAGTAGAAACCGGTAGATACCAAGGTATTGAACAAAGGAACTAATGATGTAGAAGACGAATTTCATTTTGTTCTTAAATGTTCATTTTATTCCGATTTATACAATTCATTTATTAAACCTTTCTATATCAGACATACACTGAAAATAAGAAGGAAATAACTAATTTAGCCAAATATGTAAGAATCGCTAATAGAAGACGACAAAATTACTGAATTAAGTCAAATGTATCCAGTGTTTGTCAGTAATACTATAATATGTCCTTATCATCAGATATTATCCTATTATTAGTTACATTATTTTTAGCAGTTAGATATGTCTCTACACTTCTAGGAGAAGGTGCGGAAGTGGTGTGTATGTGTGTTGTTGTTTAGTTGTTTACTTTATGTTGCACTGTATATATACACAACTGACGAGCTGTAAAGCTTAAGGAAATGAATAAACTTGAACTTGAACTTGAACAAAATGTTATCTAATCGTTTCCATATATATCTATGCTAAATCGTAGAATAGATGTAATCAACATATGTTATATTCTCTACCATAAAACAGCATATTTATTGATTTCAACCTAAATCAAATTACTCAGTTCAATCGTGCCGATGAAGTAAAATTTCACACGTTTTTATGTTACTTATATAGTATATCAGTGTTCATACATACAGCAGCTGTTATTGCCTAAATGGTCGCTAAACTGTTAAATGATTACAATCGTTCTGTTTACCACAACACTGATAAATCAAAGGCTCGTCGGTGGTGTAGAGTTGTGACATAACCACCTGCTGGGCTGTAAACGAGTTGAACCATTGGATTCCCCCATTGATCTGATGGTCAACCACTGGTCATTGTTTGAGTGTTCTTGTTAGCCTATTAACCTATGAATGGCATGGGATTGTGTAAGTAATTGGACCCTAGCGATGTTCGATATCTCTTTATTGGAGCATATTAGTGCGTAGATGTAATGGACAATTTGCATTATACAGTTATGAATAGAGTATATCTAAAGATGTCTTCAGTAATAACATATATAGTTCACGATTGTGGCTAATATTTTGATATTTTTCACGAGTGCCCCGTGGCCATGGGCTGATGTCTTTGACGGATTTTCTCGAGGCCTGCGTATTGTTAAGCTTACCAGACTTTGACCATGTATACCATATGTAATTTTCCCAATGGTAATTTGCAATCAATGTTTTGATTTTTCAAACAGAAAAATGATATTACTCACTAGTAAAAAATATCTCTTTCATTGAATGAAGTATTTTCAATATTTCACTGGTAAAAATGTAATAAAGAGGCCTACCGTGGTAATTTGTACTTGTCCACTTAATATTGTTATCTAAGTAACGAAAATCTATGAACTGTTTTAAGTATTAGTACATGCACTTACTGCTTCAAAGTACACCTTCGTGTAAATTAATTTTTCACTTTTTTTTTCAAGGGAAAAGGTACCCATGGAAACTAAATCTGGTGAAACTTTTTGAGAAAGGGTTATTCATCCCTTTCATGCATCATAATATATACTAGTATATGTATTATTGCCTACAGTAGACTATAAAAGTTCAACTGTCAGATGTAAACGTTTTAATATCTTACCTGTTTTATAAAGGTGTAAATGTCGATAGCAAGACAAAAAAACACATTGAAGTATGATCATTTAGGCAATTATACCATGTTAATGTTGCTGCTTAAATCTTCACTTGATGGCTTAAAAATCATTCATTTGATATACGTATTCATTCTTTTCTAGATCGAACGTACCCGTGCTGCTCCCAGACGTTTTGAGGAGGTAAGTAATTGATATATGTGTTATTCCGTTTTTGCCAATTGCAGAGTTATCTTCTTTTGTGAGTCATTGGTTTGTGCAAGAAAATTACGTCGTTTTCTCAAACATTGATGACGTTACTCTCACAAACAAATGACGTAACAATAAATACCTGCTCACAAGAGAAGATAACTACAATACGCAAAGACGGAATGGGCATACACTGTTAATCTCGTGATTTTGATTGTACTGCAATGAACAGTTTCAGTGTGTGCAAGGCATTTTTTTCTGTAATCTTTACATTAATTTTGAAATAAGGTTAATCAGTTAGTAAATTAATCAAATAAAAACATTTTCAGTAAGGATGTAACCAAAGGACTAGGGGCGTTAAGGGTCAATTTCGGCCTCATCGGTTATTTTGAATAAATTGTTATCTGGAATAAATGAAGTATGAAAATATGAAATTTTAAATTCCAGTTTCTGTAGATTTAGTCTTTGTCAAATTTTCGAAACAGCCTACATGATAATCTTTAAACTTAGATTATTTCTGCTAGGTGTGCGGAGACGAATACATGTATTTATCACATATCTGTTGAATCTTGTTATAGTAATACAGGCAATTTTCAGACCATGAAATACAACGTTCTGTATTGCACACGTGCGATACGGAATGTTGTATTTACCTACTAGCCGAAACTACTTTTTTTATGGGAATCCCCTTGTCATGGCGAACTGAAAAGTTCCCGGTATTTGCAAAATATATCAAAGTTTATAAAATCTTTGTATCGATCTCTACCAAATACGGAAGATAGGGGATAAAAGCAAGACCACACACTTGTGGTTTTCTAACGAATCAGAAAGCACTCATTTATTGCGCGGACGCATATATACGTCCGCGCAATAAATGAGTGGGTTCTGATTCGTTAGAAAAACACAAGTGTGTGGTCTTGCATATGTATACTACTAGGCTTTATGTTGTGGTGCGGTCTTATCCCTCGGGAAAAGCCCCCCGACTCATAACAAAGAAAAGATTGAAATTCCCTGTTAATAGCCATATATACAGTTGCTGGTCATGGAAAGATGAACATAGTTATGTTACCAGAATTACCCCCTGGGTGTTGTTCAACCCTTAGAGCTAAGTACAACATGTACACGGTCGATATATCAATTTTTTTTTTACCATATATACCAATACTGGGAATCTAAAAACAAACACAATCACGCTGCCATGAATGGCTTTATTAGCTTTGAAGAATCCATGTTTTTTTTTACTGGGAATCAAATGGTATCTAAAGGGAAAGCGAAAATCCCTTTAACCCCAGTTAAAGGAAGAACCGGATGACTTTTGAATTGAGACCTTGGCTTTAGAATGCTTCCATATGGCTTTGTAAAGTTAATTTAGTTTGTTTTTGTGTTTAAGCCTTAGCGCTTATAATATGTAGTTTTTGTGTGTGTTAAAACCTTAATCCAGAATCCTACTTGATGAGGTTTGGCTATTGGACGTAGTTCGGTTTCTCGTAATACTATGACAAGCGCGAAGTTAGCTTAGTATTTTGGTTCTGGCGTCAGCATTGTGTAGTTTGCTTTATAATTCATGGCCTGGTGCGAGTAAATCGTAGTTTGTTTTTGCGTTTAGGGCTTGAACCTTGAACCTTACGAGGTGATGTGCTCAGCCAGTATGGCTTGTGGCTATGCTGTGTGTGAGTGGAGACAAGACCTTCTCGTTCCGGATGAAACATGTGCCTACCTTTTGAGCACGTAAGTGTTAGCTAAAACAGATGCTGAGGTGATATATTTATATAAAACTTAACATATATAACATTGATGTTTAAACCCCCTTTTTAAGTATTCCTCTTTTAAAACATGAATGTTAATTAATAATTTAATCAATTTGGCAAAATGTTTTATTTCATATTTGGTATTCATGGTACTGCAATAATCTTTACACGTATTAAGCGCCTTGCATTCACACCGCCATGCATACAAACAAATCACATTCTACTCCTTATTGATGCATTTAAAGAGTAACCACGTGTATACAGCACTCTCTTAACGAAATAATCTCCGAAATGAAACTATATAATATATTTCGTACTAAAATTGTTTCAACTCTTATACAATTCAAAACCCTTTACACTCTGATTCGGTTCAATCCAGAAAGAAACATAGAGTAAAATTTAATTATCTTTCTTCAAATGTGAAAAATCACATTTGATTAACAGTTTTTATTTATATAATCAATTTAACGAATGCCACACAACGAGAAAATTGTCGCTCTTTTACTAATATAAACATGCTGCAAACATGATGTTTTTTCGTTGCATTAAGGCCGCAAATATTTTGGTTTCATTTGGTTGTAAGTTGTATAAATTGAAGCTTTTTATGTCTGTTTTAACAACTTTGGATGGGAGATACCCTTAACCACAGTAGGAATGCAGGCTGTATGTAAAAACATATGATAAAAAATGATTTAGAAAGAAATAGATAAGGTTACCAGCCGCAAAATTAATTCAGTCTAAATTTTGTAGCTATAAATTTGTTTAATAAATCTTGATGAAAACATATTTCAAATGTTTATTTTCGTGATATGACAATTCTAATTGTCACAATGAATATTTTGTTCAATGAAGAGGCAAATATTTGTTTTGTACATGTATATAGCTTGTATCTTTACAAATAAAAACACCATCGAACATTTAAATAGTGTTTTTATCAAATACTTCTGTTTTATATATGCTTTTACATTAAGGTTTTCACATTTACCCAGACCATTTATTCAATTCATCTATTACTTTCTTTAATTGATCAAAACAACACGAATACGTTTGTTTCTTTTTAATATTAGAATTGAATTGAAATGAAGAAAATGCAAATGACATTTCTATACAGAAACACGCTTTGCGATTGGTTTTTTCTTTCCTATGAAATGTTGAGGCTTTTCTTAAATACAGACCAAACACGCAAGAAAGCTAACAGTTTTGTTCGAACTAATTTAGCCCTCCGATACTCGATTAGTTTAATAATGAAAAAAAGCAATACATGGATGCTCTCTTAAATTACATAAACAACTTAACTAAATACTATTTAAAATAATCATGCGTAATAGGATATTCATTAAAAAGCTATTTAAAAACCTAAGCGTTAACAAACCGTAAATCGAGTTCAAAATCTTTATAAAAAAAACACTCCTTTTTCTTCCATTTGAAAAGCAACTTGCAAAGAATTTAAAATATCAACATCTGCATTCTCGATACTCCAGGGGTTGCGCCCATTGACGCACTCTTACAAGCCATAGCTAAATTGAACGCACTTGACTAAGGTCCCAGGTAAAAACAACACCGACTAATCACTAGGCTGATACCTGTCCTTTGAAGATTACAGAGAAGCGACACCCGACTTCAAAGCCAGTCAATTTTTACCGTTACGCGACCGCGAGATACATCAAAGGATCAAACTAGTCTTCTTGTCTAATCAGCAAGGTGGCGCAAACTGAGCCTTCAATTTTGCTATGACATATTTCAGGGGTGCAGAGAGCGAAAGTGAATGTCACCCATGGAGTATAGAGGATACAACATACGATATTTTGTATGGGCAGTTTTTACATATTTAATTATAAAACGATACACGAAGTAATTATTCTACTCTCTGAATGTTTATGTTATGCTACAACCAATGCTTTCATTCTAAAATTTATTTCTCTTAATATATATATACATCATTGTCCATATGATATCTACTATTTACCTTTTTCACTCATACTTGTATGGATGTGGTACCTATTGGAGAGGGCTAATATATAGGCTTGCCTGTTGTCCAATCCATTTGATTTCTAAGCAATAAAATTTGTTGAAATAGAAATGGGCAGTTTGTAATCGAAAACACCCTGATCACCGCTAAATTTGGACATACTATATATGCGGTCTAAAAATAGCACCACCCGTCACTCATCACGTAATTGTATATGTAGGTAATATTTTATTAAAATTTTCATTAAATTATCACAAAAGTTACCCTAAGGTTGCAAAACTCATCTTTGAAGAAAATCTTTACTTTTATTGAAAACCACAAAACAACAGCTTTAGTATTATATTCCCAAATGTCTTTTGCTTTGTCCTGATCATTTGTCAGGCTAGTTTCATTAAATATGTTCTGTATTTTTGTGTACCAGGTGTCACTGCCCTAATAGACAGGAGTGCCCGACTAACAACCATTCACCCTCCTCAGCACCGACAACAGGTTTCAACGTATTTGAGTTACACTGTCCACCGCGATCAAGCTGAGAATCACGTGACTGGAAGAACAAATCGGATTGCATCATCTGGCGACTTCAAATCATCACCTATACGGGAGGATATCTCAACTACAGAATGCTACGGTTTGGTAACAATGTATTGAAAAGCTCATCATTGTCCAAACATGTTTGAATGTTAAAAGCACGTTTGATATCTTCGAAGAATGAGAAATAAACAATTTATGATGTGTTTAACGCTCTCCAATAACATCCCCTCGAAATGCTTCTCAGTGGTATTTATGTATTTCCTAAAGCATAAAGACACTGTCTAAATGCATTTCCTTTTTTTCATGCATTGCTTCTGTTGTATCCTTGTGATAAATAAATTAATTTTGTAAATATGTCTATATATAGGAAGTTATTTTCTTTATGAGCACATGGCCATTTTGGTGATTCTTAAATGTTTATGGTTAGTACTGTCGGTTAGTGGTTGAGTATTTCAACAGGAACGTTTCTGATTCACTCTATCACGTCAGACATCTTTGGAGTGTTTAGAGTAGAGCTTTGTCTACGAAACACGATGTATATTGTCAATGATTTGACATAATGTGCACATAATATGTAGGCCAATCATTAACATAAACCAGCTCAGCGTGATGGTTTTAATGCAATTGTCTTCATTGCTGGTAAACGACTAAATATTAAAACGTCATATGCTTTGACTCAATCCATATCTTTAAATTAGACAAAAAAAGCAATTCAACGGCTACATTAATTAAAGCTTAATATATATTTTTGTTCCATATTTACAGAACAATTGCATAACCACACTACTAAGTTTACTACAATTGGTAAACAAAACACTCGGTTTAAATAATTGTAGTTGCGCAAACTCGACATGTAAACCCATCCGCGCAACAATCGGTCTTTTTCTTCAAACTTCTCGAAATTTCGGTGAATAGTACTAAAATTAACCAACATCGCAGTGCCAGCCATAAATTTCGCAAAAAGGAGGAACCTTACATATAATAAATGTTGTATATAGACAGAACACAGTAATTGAGTTTACTATAGAAATATCCAAAAAGTAAGCAAATTAAATGGCTAAAAAACATACCAATTCAATGTTTTGACAAGCTAAAATATATTGTGTACATCAACATGGAAGGTTAATGTACAGGAGGAGAAGAAGGTTAGAAGATTTCTTTAAGGCAAGTTGGTACAGTGATGATAATGAATATATTGAAAATAGCAATGGTTGACCTATAAATAACAACAGTGACCTTGGAGACGACGTTGGGATCACATTAGGTAGTCAGGTATAAAGGTGAAAAGAGCACTCGCTTTTCATCAAGACGGCCGGGGTTCTATTCCCCAATCGGTAGTGAAAAGTGTCATCTGTCCGACATAGTTGGATTTTTCAAGTACTGCTGTTCCCTCCAACATTAAGATACAAGAGTGGTTGGTATAAGTCGGGATCATTTATTTCATAATCGTTGTTAAAATAAATTAAGTCTATATAAGGAAAGAAAAACTGAAACGAAGGAGACACCTAACAATAGAAAGCTTAAAAACATGAGCTGAGGAGACACCTTACAATACCAAGACAAAAAAAATGAACTGAGGAAACATCTAACAAAAGAAAGAAAACACTGGAACTGAGGAGACACCTGAAAATGAAAGACAAAGATAGGAGTCTACGACATGCCTAGAAAAAGAAAGAAAAAAATATTTTTTTTACTTAGAAGTAACCTTACAATAGAAAGACGAAATCAGGAACTCAGGAGAAATCGAACAATACAAAGACAAAAACATGAACTGAGGAGACATGTTACAAATTAAAGACGAAAACAGGAACATTATGACAGAGGAAAGGCGTTATATTTTGCACCCGTCATGACGTCTCCTGTGAAATTCAAACACTGTCTATGACAGCATCAACATGTATTTCATCATGTCAGACAATGGAAATCCATAGTTAAACATCATATCTTCAGCGCGAACAAATTAGCTTTGACCTCTATAAATGAATATAGCTGTTATAACAAACCTCTGCTTCATTAAGTCACGTATCGTATCTAATCAATTCCACATAATATATTATAACCCGGTAAAGGTGCGGCTGTTGTTGGTGAGCTATAGTAATTAGGCCAAAACATGGACAAAGCACATACGTCATTAATTGAAAATAAGATAATTTGTCACGTAGCAATAACACATTTAGCAGTTACTTCAGGATATTTCAGGAGATTGTGTAAGAACCAATTAGACACATTAATATTGACATAATGGTAACACAGTAACTAGCATGCGACCTGTACATCTGCCTGGATATGTTTCATTATAGGTTATTCAAAGACTGATTAGAAATGATACCGAAGTGCTAATAACCCAGTAATTGGAACAAAATATAGATGAAAATCGGGCAAAATATGAAGAGAGGAAACAATCAAAAAGTATACGGAAAATTAGGTCATATGCATCGAAAAGGTAGGTCTGTTCTGTCTCATTGACGACACCTGTCGTATTATGCAAGGTATAATTCAAGTAATCATAGGTTATCAAAGAAAGAATCGGGGTAGTCACAGCGAATCCACATGGGATGCTAATGAGCAAGCTGCATGGAATATATGTCCAGAATGAGTATGTGCATTTCTAGCCGATATAATCACAACCGATCATGACGCTTAAAAAGCTGAGTGTACAATCCAAATAAAGTCACCCGAGGAAGTACATCAAAACCTCTTTTTAACAAACAACATTTGAAATTAAAGACGTGCTTCATGCTTTTCTTTTACTTTTGGTCAGCCATTTCAGCTTTGTGTAGTATATCCCATTGAAATACATTGCATCATTATGGACATTTGAAGCTTAAACTTTTAATTTTCTTGAAAGTATTCACTTCATGGATGCGTAGGGACTATATATTTCTGGTTATTTTGTTATTATTTGCATCATTCAAATCTGTGCGGCGTGTGCGAAAAATTCTGTGATCAAATGTTACCGTTATGACAAAAAAGCAATTTCAAGTTTCACATAATTATGTTAGTAGTTTACATTGTCTTAAATACAAGATTACCAAACTTCCTATATAATATTAATAATAACAATAGTCTTTATTTATACTTAATGACACAGTTGAGTCAACGACTTTTTGTTTTGGATAAAAAAAAGAAGTTGATCCCTAAAACAATTAACAATGACGTAACGTTGTCCGAGGAAATAGCATCAAATGAAGATTGCGGAGCAAGGGTGTTGTAAAAGTGAAAGATGGCTGTGGGTGTAGTTTTAGGTATGATAAGTATATAAAACCATTTTCTTAACTTTTGATGCAAACACTATTAGAAATGGTCGGATGTGTTGGACATGTTTTAGAGATAAACAAAACTAAAATATTCAAAATTACAACGTTTATTTTTTCCAGATATATGTTCATAATACAAAATGATAAATGTTGATTATAAAAGAATTTTAATAGGAAATAGCATAAGAGTAAACTTAACAATAACAGTCTGGTGGAAATATCATTAAACATCATCACATTGATGCGAAAAACATAAAATTGAAATATATCCCCCTTTTAACGGATTTCACGTAAGAACGTAAGAATCTATTTCCTCTGTCAAGTCGTCCCAGTAAATCATACATTTTTTTCACTCTCAACATTACAGAAAAAAACACTTCCGAACTTTGTTCTGGTATACATTCTTTTCACTTCAAATAGAAGATTGTTATGTTGCCTTTTTTTCAATTTCTTTGCTTTGCTTGACGGACACGGTAATCCAAGTTAAACGAAGTAAGGGCGAGATATTTCGCTAACCCACAAAATTTCGCTAACATTCGTAAAACAACAAACATAAAAATGTACATGTCCTAGGATGATCACTTTTTATTTCTATCACAAGTTGATATTTCGGGCGAGTGGTCCTATAAATAAAACGCAAAATACCATCAGGGTTACGTAGGCCCTTGAATCGGCGTAACTGTACCCAGAAAGGGACACTTTGGTAATTTGGCTAATATTTGGGGATAAACGATTAATGTCAGCAGAAAAGCAGACATATTTCAAATAATTTTAGAGTCAAATGAGGTTATGATTAAATTTCTTTTTCAAATTAGCATTAGTTTTGATAAAATATACTTTTAAAATAATATCTAGACAAATAGCATCGCACGATTGACACCCTATGTGTAGTCCATTACGATGTCCCCTTCATGAACAGTAACTACTTTAACTTGACACCCTATGTGTAGTCCATAACGATGTCCCCTCCATGAACAGTAACAACTTTAACTTGACACCCTATGTGTAGTCCGTTACGATGTCCCCAAACGAACAGTAATAACTTTAACTTGACACCCTATGTGTAGTCCATAACGATGTCCCCTCCATGAACAGTAACATCTTTAACTTGACACCCTATGTGTAGTCCGTTACGATGTCCCCAAACGAACAGTAACAACTTTAACTTGACACCCTATGTGTAGTCCATTATGATGTCCCCTCCATGAACAGTAACAACTTTAACTTGACACCCTATGTGTAGTCCGTTACGATGTCCCCAAATGAACAGTAACAATTAACTTTAACTTGACACCCTATGTGAAGTCCATTACGATGTCCCCTTCATGAACAGTAACAACTTTAACTTGACACCCTATGTGTAGTCCGTTACGATGTTCCCTCCATGAACAGAAACAACTTTAACTTGACACCCTATGTGTAGTCCGTTACGATGTCCCCTTCATGAACAGTAACAAATTTAACTTGACACCCTATGTGTAGTCCATTACGATGTTCCCTTCATGAACAGTGACAACTTTAACTTGACACCCTATGTGTAGTCCATTACGATGTCCCCTTCATGAACAATAACTACTTTAACTTGACACCCTATGTGTAGTCCGTTACGATGGTCCCTTCATGAACAGTGACAACTTTAACTTGACACCCTATGTGTAGTCCGTTACGATGTCCCCTTCATGAACAGTAACAAATTTAACTTGACACCCTATGTGTAGTCCATTACGATGTCCCCTCCATGAACAGTAACAACTTTAACTTGACACCCTATGTGTAGTCCATAACGATGTCCCCTCCATGAACAGAAACAACTTTAACTTGACACCCTATGTGTAGTCCGTTACGATGTCCCCAAATGAACAGTAACAATTAACTTTAACTTGACACCCTATGTGAAGTCCATTACGATGTCCCCTTCATGAACAGTAACTACTTTAACTTGACACCCTATGTGTAGTCCGTTACGATGTCCCCAAATGAACAGTAACAACTTTAACTTGACACCCTATGTGTAGTCCATTACGGTGTCCCCTTCATGAACTTTAAAAACTTTAACGAACATCCATATACTACAATACCGACTCGATTCTAGAACTGTAAAACTATATTTAAAGCTTAACATCATTTCCCCTTTGGCTGAACTGACCATTTGACCTTTTTTTGTTTAAAGGTCGAATAAAATCAAAATTAATTTAACTACTTCTTTTACTTTACATAATATACAACTAGCTTTGGCCCTGGGAGTGCCGATATTGTTTCCTAGTGGTACGATTCCGAATAAGAAAACATGTCCCTGAATAATAGTTGATATGATTTGCTGATACCCCTCAATGGGACTAGAATCGTTCTAATTTAATTCACCTATTCCACTCATGATACATTCTATGAGATTTATACTTGTTTGACTCAGTTGACATTAAACATGTGCAATGTTTTTTCTCCTGCTGAGCAGGATCATTGATAGAGAGAGAGTGTGTAGCGTACTAAAACAGAAAGTATCTCTGAGCCAGTGCGAGTCTGCGCGCGGGAGGACAGGTCAAGTGGACGGGTGTCTCGTCGTCGTCTGAACTCTTGACAGTCACCTTGTAGGAACATGGGTCAACTAAGGATACAACAGAAACAATTCAGTGTTATCATTTCAATAGGTAAGACACCAAGTATTTCACACCACATGACGTTTCAATGTGATAAGAAGATTTATTGAATGAAACATATTTACACTGTTGTCTGAAATATTTGTCTTAAAACGTGACTGAATGTGTTAGTAAGGAGCAAGCGAGTAAAACAAGATATTTTTCTCAGAACAGAATCGACCTTTCAAGCTCATCATGAATAAAGCTATTCAGAAATAAATTAGAATTGATTACTTACCTGTTATTAAGGGGAGATAATTGTTCAGGATCATGTCGTCCTTGCTGATATCTCGACACCTTCGCACAGCCTCAATGCCTTTACTCAGGCCATATCCCTTCACTACACCCTTGTCAACTGCTGCCTGCAGTCAACAATTGTATTTCATTTCAGTATGTTGACAAAACTGCGTTATTCTCTAACAAACACCTGAAACATGTCTTTGATTAATGGTAAATTGATAAAGGATCATTGACATTTGATATACGTTTGGTAATCCAATTGAAGAAGTTTAAAAGCCCTTAACCCTTCAATAACTACATTCAAAATTTCAGAACGCAAAAACTTATGAGTATTTAAAGTCATTTATTTAAATATGAAGATGAGCAAATTCTAACAGCTGGCATTACCTGTGACACAAACACCACGGAATGTGTCCCTACTGCCTTGCCGTATGCCCCAAACATCTTCCTTTGCATCTTGGGCTCCGGGGTAGGAATCGATGCATTTGGCATCCCTGAGTTAAAAGATCAATCAAAAGTGAAATCATTCTGTGTCATGCAGACGCTTCAGTTTCATTCAAAGAATGATACTAGATGACACGTGGAAGGCTTAAATCTCTCAAAGCGTAGGTCGAGGTTAATTGAACCATTAATTTGAAGTAGGGTTTCTACATCTTCATAAATGGGGGAAAAGGACATTTCATAATAGTCAAACTTGATAACACCAGGCCCTGGTAAACATATGTTTGAAATATCACCATGGAAAGCGTACAATGTTATAGATTATAGTGTTCTGTTCGGAAACTTACCCATCTGAGCCCAAGCAATCTGGCCCCCTTTTATAATGATTTCAGGCTTGGCCCCAAAGAACTCTGGGTTCCACAGGACAAGATCAGCCATTTTCTTGTTCTACTGACGAAATTGGTTCATTAGATGATTTAAAATTAAACATTAACAAACAATGAACACATCAGTAACAATTGAATCAAATAAACTATTAAAGGCATAGAAAATGCAACGGAATAGACTGAAAAGCAAAATCTAGTTGGTTGGTGAATCAACTTATTAACATAACATAGTTTTGATCATAACCTGATTTGTAAAAAAAAAATGAAAAAAATTGCAAACATTTCTTAATTTTCATTCTGCAGATACTCATATTGGAATTCTTTGTTTTTCTTTTTAGATTTTAATTTATGTACTATTTTATTCATTTGATGGAAATTTGTATTAAAAAAATCTTCCTTCGAAGAATTGAACCCTGATCACCAGTGATTTTCCCAGTCTTTCACGAGCTTTTCCTGTGTAAATATACCACAATAGTATTATTCCAAACTTAGTTTCATAGGTATGACTTAGTTTGGAAATCAGCCAAATATACGTAGTACTAGTAACACCAACAACGAGCAGGTAAATATTTGTGATATGTCCGGTAAAATGTCAGCATATTAGACGGATATATTCGAAAACCTGAATTCATTGAATTAGCATTCATATAAAAATAACTTATCACAGAAAGAAAAGATCACATACCTCTATTGAACCAATCAGATGAGCCATTCCATGGGCCAGGGCAGGGTTGATGGTGTATTTGGCAATAAATCGTTTTGCTCGGAGATTGTCGTTTTCACCCTGTGGTTATTGGTTTTATGATATAAATAAAATATGACATGAAAATCTGGATTGATTATGAGATTCCCTATCTGTAAGAGTTCATTTCTTTAAATACAGTTAGCAAAACATGCTTAGACAAGGCATTGCGAGTAAACAATATAATATATGGCGTGAATCAACATGAACAATCAGAAAGGCGTTGTGCAAGAACGTTTTTGTACGAAACACAAGCAACGTACAATATTGAGCATAGTATATGATGAAAGTAAGATACATACACATGCTGACGGTTAAATAGTTTGCGATAGAAATTACTGTATTCACAAGTAGATCATTTAAAAGCATTGTTCGACGCCATTCAGTCTAAACTAACGTTAGTGCCTAAATGTAATTGGTTGGGAAACGCAAACCTTTTCTTCCTTTAGTCTTCCTCTGAAGAGCTTCATTTTGTCAGCTGTTTGCCAGGTTCTACAGATCGTTTCACCTACCCGGCCCATCGCCTGCACACATTTAAAATGTCACCAAGCTTATATTGAATATAATCATACAATGTATTTCACAAAGAACATTTATAGAATGAAGTGGTCCATGGGGTCTGCGGTAGGCGGTAGCGGCCTTCTTACACCTCTTATTCAACAGAATGACCGTACAATAACAGGACAGCAAGGGGGACATTTGCACTGATTTGGGTAAAATATCAAGTTTATCAAGAATATTTCAGCCAATCAGAATACATGGATGGTATTTCAAATCTGCATCGGTTACCGCACAAGATCAAAATCAAAATTAGGTAATATAGACCTAGTTGAAATTACAAATAACTTGAAGTTGTTGAAAATGGGCTAGCAAATCTAAATGTCGGAGAACACATCTTTATTTTTAAAGCCAGATGGCACTTTAACGAGCTATAAACAACAATTCTTAAATTGTTAATTGATAAAGAGCACTAGGTGGGGGATGTTATAATATACTGATGATAAATACACCATGTCTCATACCAGTGAGATATGACAGTACGCCGATGGTTAATACGCCATGTTTCATACCTGTGACATATGACAGTATACCGATGATAAATACACCATGTCTTATACCTGTGACATATGACAGTATACTGATGATAAATACGCCATGTCTCATACCTGTGACATATGACAGTATACTGATGATAAATACGCCATGTTTCATACCTGTGACATATGACAGTATACTGATGGTTAATACACCATGTCTCATACCTGTGAGATATGACAGTACGCCGATGGTTAATACACCATGTCTCATACCTGTGAGATATGACAATATACTGATGGTTAATACCCCATGTCTCATACCTGTGAGATATGACAGTATACTGATGATAAATACGCCATGTCTCATACCTGTGACATATGACAGTATGCTGATGGTTAATTCACCATGTCTCATACCTGTGACATATGACAGTATACTGATGGTTACTACACCATGTCTCATACCTGTGACATATGACAGCATACTGATGGTTAATACACCATTTCTCATACCTGTGACATATGACAGCATACTGATGGTTAATACACCATTTCTCATACCTGTGAGATATGACAGTACGCCGATGGTTAATACACCATGTCTCATACCTGTGAGATATGACAGTATACTGATGATAAATACGCCATGTCTCATACCTGTGACATATGACAGGATACTGATGGTTAATACACCATGACTTATACCTGTGATATATGACAGGATACTGATGGTTAATACACCATGACTCATATCTGTGACATATGACAGTATGCTGATGGTTAATACACCATGTCTCATACCTGTGAGATATGACAGTATACTGATGGTTAATACACCATGACTCATAACTGTGACATATGACAGTATACTGATGGTTAATACACTATGACTCATATCTGTGACATATGACAGTATACTGATGATTAATACACCATGTCTCATACCTGTGACATATGACAGCATACTGATGGTTAATACACCATTTCTCATACCTGTGACATATGACAGCATACTGATGGTTAATACACCATGTCTCATACCTGTGATACACCATGACTTATACCTGTGACATATGACAGTATACTGATGGTTACTACACCATGTCTCATACCTGTGACATATGACAGTATGCTGATGGTTAATTCACCATGTCTCATACCTGTGACATATGACAGTATGCTGATGGTTACTACACCATGTCTCATACCTGTGACATATGACAGCATACTGATGGTTAATACACTATGTCTCATACCTGTGCGATATGACAGTACGCCGATGGTTAATACACCATGTCTCATACCTGTGAGATATGACAGTACGCCGATGGTTAATACACCATGTCTCATACCTGTGAGATATGACAATATACTGATGGTTAATACCCCATGTCTCATACCTGTGAGATATGACAGTATACTGATGATAAATACGCCATGTCTCATACCTGTGACATATGACAGGTTACTGATGGTTAATACATCATGTCTCATACCTGTGACGTATGCCAGTATACTGATGGTTAATACATCATGTCTCATACCTGTGACGTATGCCAGTATACTGATGGTTAATACATCATGTCTCATACCTGTGACGTAGGACAGTATACTGATGGTTAATACACCATGTCTCGTACCTGTGATACACCATGACTCATATCTGTGACATATGACAGTATACCGATTATAAATACACCATGTCTCATACCTGTGACATATGACAGCATACTGATGGTTAATACACCATTTCTCATACCTGTGACATATGACAGCATACTGATGGTTAATACACCATTTCTCATACCTGTGACATATGACAGCATACTGATGGTTAATACACCATGTCTCATACCTGTGACCTATGACAGTATACTGATGGTTAATACACCATGACTCATATCTGTGACATATGACAGTATACCGATTATAAATACACCATGTCTCATACCTGTGACATATGGCAGTATACTGATGGTTAATACACCATGACTCATATCTGTGACATATGACAGTATACCGATGATAAATACACCATGTCTTATACCTGTCACATATGACAGTATACTGATGATAAATACGCCATGTCTCATTCCTGTGACATATGACAGTATACTGATGATAAATACGCCATGTCTCATACCTGTGACATATGACAGTATGCTGATGGTTAATTCACCATGTCTCATACCTGTGACATATGACAGTATACTGATGGTTACTACACCATGTCTCATACCTGTGACATATGACAGTGTACTGATGATAAATACACCATGTCTCATACCTGTGATATATGACAGTATACCGATGGTTAATACACCATGTTTCATATCTGTAAAATATGACTGTATACTGTAATTAATACGCCATCTTTCATACCTGTGAGTCAGAAGCCATGATACTTATAGCCCCCATATCGTGCAGGATGTCTTCGGCGGCGATAGTCTCGGCACGTATACGGGATTCAGCGAAAGCCACATCTTCCTTGATATTTCTATCAAAGATAATTAAATTAATGGTTTTTCACTTCTTTTGCATCATTCGATTTCTTTTTCCAACCAAATTGGACGGTTATGAAATCCATTCCTGGTTTTTAAATCCGTTAGTTGTTGGAACCTCACACTAAGCGTCAATATAGGAAAACATATACCCATAAGTACTCTACCAGAGCTGCTGACTTCTTACAATGCAAGTTATGAAATGAACAACTCTTTAGAAATAAAATAAAAAGATTGAAAAGTATTTCTCAAATTTACCCCTGCTTCCGCTTTCATAGACTCGAAGCTTTATGAAAATCTTATCAAAGAAATAATCATTGTTTATTTGTATGAGGTTTAACATTGTCGAAACAGTTATTGTCATATGGAGACGGGTGCTTAGGGAGACACCGACAAAAAGGTAGAAAAAGAAAATATCTAGATTCAACGTATTTCAATGGGGCAGCAGATTAATTTTAGTTTCTTCAATGGCGTCTGACCAGAAGACACAGAAATAAAAAAAAATCCTAATCTGCAGTAGAGCCCATAATAGTCATTCTCGATATCCAGGGGTTACGCTCACTTTCATTCTCTGCACCCCTGGCATATGTCATAGCAAAATTAAGGCTTAGTATGCGCCACCTTGTTGACGAGACAAGAAGTCTAGTTCGATCCTTTGGTGTACATCCAAAGAATCCCGCAGTCGCGTAGCGTTAAACATTGGGTTAGGGTTAGGCTTTGAAGTCGGGTGTCGTCCCTTTGTAATTTTCAAAGGACAGGTTTCAGCCTAGCGATTGGTCAGGTTGAGAGCGAAAGTAAGCGTAACCCTGAAGTATCGAGGATGCTATAGTGGCCTCCTACGATACCAAGCAGTGGGGTACCGTAGTTTTATTCTTTCCCTTACCTACAGGGGCACCAAAGAAATGAAGTCAAACGAAAAGTCTGACCACAGCTGTTAAACTGAGAATATATGTCGCAATGACCTACTTATGATATTTCGGTAGAATACTAGCGCTGTTCAAGATACAAGCACAAAGAAGATTGGTATTTGCTGGACTTCAACTATTAAAGGAATTACAAATGCATCTAAATGAAATATCAAGCAATATTGAACATATAGATGGACCAACTGCAGTATGTGGTAGGGGTAGGAAGAATAGAAAGCTGGACCTACTTGTCAAGATGGTGGCAGACCATGAGCATGTCCAGGTGTTCATCAATGGTGTTGGCAGTGTAGGGTCGCGTGGGGTTCGTGGAGGATGGCAGGACATTCTTCTCTCCACACACCCGTATAATATCAGGAGCGTGTCCTCCTCCTGCCCCCTCCGAGTGGTACGTGTGGATTGTCCGACCCTTAAATGCCTTAATGGTCTGCTCAACACATGACGATTCATTCAGTGTGTCTGTGTGGATTGTCACCTGCAAAAAATATCGTTTTCTTACAAATCGTAGTCAATTCTCGACCGAACTTTTCTCCACGGCGTCGGAACATGTCTTTATAAAGATGTTTACTGTTACTAATATCCCTGTCAGTGCACTATAGTCGTTTGTGTTCGTGAAGATTTATAAGTTAAAAAAATGTCGCCATTTTGTTTCTATAAAAAACAATTATTGCCGGCAGGAAACTATTTTTTTTAATGTCGAAGGAACATCTTGGACAAAGATATTTTCTTGGAACTTAACAACTGTGCCATCAATATTTGGAAAATGCCATCTTTATCATACCATTCACTGTATCCAATCAATTTATACAATAACAGGTAATACAGGAGTAACATTACCCCTCACGAAAATTCCCATTTAGACCCCTTTCGAACTCTAGATATGCTACAACCGTTAAGTTATCAACAGCGCGTTGAATTTAATACCAGTAATCTCTCCGAAGACGACCTATGGTACGCAAACCGATCAGAGTACCATCGTGACTGAGAGAACAAGACGCTGTCATCGATATCCTCCTCTGGCAGTTCAAAAGTCATTAAAACATGATATATGACAAGTGCTTTTTAATCAACTCAATGAATTCGTATTATACAAGTCTCTAAAACATTAAATATTTGGCAAATTCAGCATCTGCAACATGCAATAAGTAGATGAACCTTTATAAAGTGATCATTCATGCAAGTATAATGGCTGTATCACTTGAAGTAGGCAAGATATAGATAAGAGCAACTCGTCTAAACCTTACATGAAGATAAGAGCAATTCTTAACCAAGACAATACAGCGCAAAATATATAGGTCAAAATATATAGGTCAATATATAGGTCAAAATATATAGGTCAAAATATATAGGTCAAAATGATCATCCGCAATATGCATTCAGTAGAGCAACATTAGATACACAGCTGATGTAAAGTATAATCAATACAGCACATGTAGTAGGCAAGATGCATTTGAGAGCAATCCTTAACCAGGTGCATGGACGGACAGATAGTCAGACACAGTTATTATTATAGGGCAACCACATCTTTGATGCGGTGCCCTTATAACACAACAATAAACATAACAACCTTGAAATCTGATGACCTTATTGTTAATCAACAAAATCCTGACAGTTACGTGCACTCACCTGCACATCGTACTTATCCGCAACTCTTAAACAGGTGTCAATGGCTGAAGGTGTGGTTCCCCAATCCTCGTGAAGTTTCAATCTTCGGAAGCAAGAAGATCAGCTCAGAACATTGCAGTTAACATTCGTTCGTTACATGGGGGCAATGTTCTGCCATCAAATATTCCATGTACTGTAGATCTCATTCTAATTTTAGTTTAATTTAATTTTGTTTTCCAGTAAAATTGCGTTAAGCTCCGGTATCGAATAGAAGAATCACGGGCACAATGATCTATACGTATTTCAAAGTGAATAATATATACCGAGAAAATTTCGCTCAGTCAAACTTTCGCCGTTCGACGGTAAAAAACATTTTCGCTCAATATTAAATTCCCCTTCACATTTAATTACTATGTTTATGGTGTTGTTACAAAAGTTTGCTGTGATGATAAACTCGCCCTCATTACGGAGGGCGAAAAGGGCGAAAATTGTACCCCAGAATAAATACAGCAAGCGCAGTACACAAATTTAAGTGGTTGTGTTTTACGTCCTATCAACAGCAATGTGAACATAAATAATCTCGGAACAAACGTCAAATTAAATACAAGAACAAGACCAGTCAAGACCTGGGGAAAGCACGAATTATCCCCATTTGAGTTCTTCTTGTCCTGAACAAACGTCCAATCTTTGTCGAGATTGATCTAATTGGACTTAATTATTTTCAAGGAAGTCAAAATTGTTTTGAAATGCGTTTTCCCCTCAGACATCTTGGGAAAGGCGTGAAAATCCCAGCGAGGTTTACTTAGATACAGTTTTTACTAGTATCAGGTTATACGTACCCTAGAGCTCCAGCAATCACCTGCTCCTCAATATCAGCGGCAATACCTCCAGAGAAAGAAGAGTTACCTTTCCCTGTAAATCCAAAATTAAGCGGGAAGGCATCCGTGCTTTGCAGCATATCTCTGTAAATAAAGTTAGATGCATAAAAGAATTTTTCGTCATTCTATAAAAACAATCGCACGAACACAATTCGCTTCATTAATATTTCATTGTTACATACAAATAATTAAATGAAATGTATATGTGAATAATAATTTACCTGATATGGTTAGGTCCAGGGGTACATGTGGTAGCATTAGAACCAGTAGCTGGACCGGTGCCCCCGCCAAACATTGTGGTGACCCCAGAGGCCACTGCCTCTCGCACCAGCTGTGGGCAGATAAAATGGACGTGGGCGTCGAGTGCCCCAGCTGTTAGAATAAGTCCCTCCCCAGCGATAGCCTCAGTCCCCGCACCTACTACAAGGCCCTGGTATACACAAAATGACGCATACAATAAATGCATGGATATATTCAATAATAAGTGAACGTACTCAACAAACACACTGCCATATTCAAGTATAAGGGATCCATTAAAAAATACAGTTCGATTTTATCGGTATAAATATATTCAATAGCATGGATAGTTAAAGGCAAATAAAAAATATGACATAGACAGCTTTGACAGATACATGAACGTGAATACTTTCATCACAAAAAAGGAAATGAATACATAATACAATAATATAACAATTGAGTACTAAAACACAACTTGACATCAATCTTTGCTTTTGTTTCACCATAATCTGGATATTTTATTTACTGTATTTCAAACTTAACATTAAATATACCCTAGCATGTCCAAGAACTATTAATTACCTGTGTAACCCCGTTCATTATTCTTACATCTTACCGTGTATCCCCGTTCATTATTCCTATTACTTACCGGTGTAATCCCGTCCATTATATCCGGATTTCCAGCCTTTCCAATCCCTGCTATCCTCCCATCCTAAAGTAAGGGTCAAGAGTACATTATTTACATGTTAACCAAAGTCTATTATTTTATCAACAACTATGCTATCATAACACACTGCAAAATAGAGTTAAAGGAAGTCACGTAAATTAGTAATCTTACTTTTTTTATTAAGACTTCAAAACTTAACGATTTTTAACCTAAAAAGACATACAAGAATATGATATTATTTCATAGATTTGTGATATTCAAGCAAATGTGATTGTACCTGACAGATATAATTTAAAACGTACGAGTGTTTTACTTTCATGAGTATCTGCCCGATATAAGAAGGACTTTTCCTCATATAATATAAATAGAGATGTTCTTGATAGCGTCAAATTTTTGACAGTTATTTAAGGATTAACTTGAATATATGTTTTATGTTATCGAGATATAACACAAAATACGGAGTGCACTCTAAATTAACCGCGAAGCGCATTATGATGAGAGTACACTATATATTCAAGTTAATCCGTATAATTTAACTTCTATACACAATCCCCGTGGATATCCACTTTTATTGATGGACTCTTTTCTCTTACAAATTGTTACGCCGCTGTATCAGTCAATCAAAAGCGACGTTACAAACGGCGACGTTACAAACGACGACGTCATTTTTTACGTTATGGGCTGATAACATCATATTTTAAGCCAATCGAAATGCTTGATACCAGCAAGATTAAATTATAAACTGATCCATTGAAAGACAACTAATTGATCTGAATATCATGGATCAACCATGGATATATGCAGACGCAAACAAAATTCTAACCTTGATCCCGACATCCGCCTTTACGATTCCAGTGACAGCGTCTAGAATGAGAGCGTTAGTAATTACGGTGTCCAGGACATCCCAGCTCCTGTTTGGTCGGTTAGCGGCCTGGCCCATCCCCTCCCTCATAACCTTTCCTCCCCCAAACTTTAGCTCCTCTCCGTACACTGTGTAGTCCTTCTCAACCTCAATTATCAAGCTTGTGTCACCCAGCCGTATCTGTGTAAAAATGTGTCAAGATATACAATGCCATATGTTGCTCAACTGCATGACTTTACATAATAAAGCTCATTTAACAAATTTGAAAAAGATTAATATTTAAGATCTATAAAAAAGTATTGATACCTGATTAACTTAACAACAATTTAACACAAAAACTTCATTCTACTTTATTTTAAAAAAAAACACCCGAGTGAAATTTAAATTTAAATTGATGAATAAACCCGTCATTTGACAACAAAAACATTTATCAGAAAACACATTTTTATAAACTGCCCATGGCTCCTTAGGCTAATCAGTGATTGAACAATTGGGTCTGGATTGATTCAATTAAAAAATTTAAAAAAAATCTACTTTGCAAAGCAAACAAAATAAAACCTACGCGATAAATCAATATTTGAAACCATAGACAAAGAGGATAAATACAAAATAGGTTGTTGCATTATTTGGAAATTTTCATGAAATGCTGTAACTTAAATATGACTTAAATATGACTTTGGTCCCGCTTTTATGGTGCAGAGCTAAACGTCTTGTCTAGCCTAATGAGGATTATGCACTTGAAGAGTAAACAAAGTCTGTAAAACGGAAAATCAGAGTCATTTCTGAATACATCCTCGGATATGTTGTTCGAGCATACTAAATAGTATTGTTCACAACAAATGCGCCTCAGATTAGAATGTCAATATTGGACACCCTATTACTGACAACTCATGAGATTTAAAAAATTAAGTTTGAATAATTGTTTTTTAAGTGTCATTTTATTACTTGGTGACTATTTCAATCTATCAGGTGTTGGAATAATTAGTCATATCTACTTGTTCATTTCCTTGTGAGATACATTAACCCTTTCACCCCTATGTAACTTTAGTAGACTCTACCATGCATTGATATGGATGAGTCCATTAAGGTCTACAGTGGTGAAAGGGTTAAAGGGAAACCAAGTTGTCTCTTGGTAAGGGAGATAACAATTGTATCCTTACCTTATCTCCAACTGTAGGTCCATAGATGTACGCATACTGTTGTCTAGGTATAACGCATTTCTTTGTTGACGACTTGGCATCAGGCTGAAAGATTACAGTGCAACACATTAAGAAAACAGATCTACTCCCTGCGATACATTGTTTTAGATAAATGCTAATAGGTACGGAAGAGCCTATCCAAATAAGGTATTATCTAGCTAGAGTTAGTGATAGAGGCTTTCCAAGAGTGGTGGTCGGTAAACATATTTTCTAACTACAGTTAGTAACAGAAATCCCCTGCATAATGGCCGTTTATCCTGTTTATCAAACAGTAGGTTAAACAGTGTTAGTTATAGAGGTTGTCCAAGAGTGGTGATCGGTCGGTTATCAGATTTATCTAACTATAGTTAGTAACAGAAGCTCCCTGAATGATGGCCATTTATCCCGTGTATCTAACTATAGTTAGTTATAAGAATTTCTCTAACAGTGCAGTTTGGTTGTCGCCGTTATCTATCTAAATTGTAAAATGATTCCACTACGAATGGTGGTCAGCTACCATGTTAATGCTTCTAAAGTTGATTTTAAACTTCAAACCGTATACAGATACAGGGCTTACCGAGTGCCTTTCAGAACTAGGATATTTAATGATGAGACGGGGCATTATTCCATTGGCCCAGAAATACCAAATACCAATGAAGGTTTAGATCCCTTTAAAAGTAGTTTTTAAATTCAGGATTTACCAATTACTTCTATTGTATACATGTACCTGTCAGCCTCTTCTGGGCACATCTTTTGTGTAAACAATCACTTAAGCCGTTCTGGACAAGTTTTTAAATATTAATGATAAAACAAATGAAAATAAATGTCGCACTATGGCACAAACTCACGTGGCCTTTTCGCCAAGTAAGTTAAATATAAACATACCAACTAATGAAGCGTCGACATAAGGAATAACGTCACAATCAAAATTCAGTGACTCATGACGATCAATAGTTTCTTTCATGGTAGTGTTCAACTAAATAGCCACAAACAAATGGACCTTTAAGATATTATCATTTACGTATAAATGGGGACTCAATTAAAGTTATAATCAAAATTTAAATTAAACTTTTAGATATAATCGATGTTAAACTAGCCTGGGGCAGATGTTGGAATTGTCCTTCTTGTACTTTCTTCAGAATACACTTCAGTTTAGCTGGGTCCATTGGACCATCACAGAGAGCATTACCTCCTCTTAATACTCTGAAACAAGAAATAGATATACAATGTAATGTATTCTCGTAACTCCATCATTGTCAAACTTATTACAATATAGTGTCTTCTCTTAAACATTGTAAAAATGGTATCTATAAAATTTCTATTCGATGACATGTCAATAAATTATTAATAAATTAAGTTTTAACAACTTGGCCCGATTAGGAATCAATTCGAGATTTGACAACCAGTTTCTTCCATAGTAACTGCTGTGTGCTCTACCCTCTGAATTATGCATTCTCTGCATCAGGCTGTATTCCGATCTTACTTCTAAAGACTGCGCCCTCTGTTACGACCTATGTCTAGTCATACTTAAATCCATTTATATATTGAAGGACTATTCTGGTAACGAGCCATTAAGGTAGATGACAAGCAGATTGGAGCCAAACAAGAAGGACTATTCTGGTAACAGGCCTCTAAGGTAAAAGACTAGCAGATTGGAGCCATACACGAGGGACTATTCTGGTAACAGGCCTCTAAGGTATAAGACTAGCAGATTGGAGCCATACACGAAGGACTATTCTGGTAACGAGCCTCTAAGGTATAAGACTAGCAGATTGGAGCCATACACGAAGGACTATTCTGGTAACGAGCCTCTAAGGTATAAGACTAGCAGATTGGAGCCATACACGAAGGACTATTCTGGTAACGAGCCTCTAAGGTAAAAGACTAGCAGATTGGAGCCATACACGAAGGACTATTCTGGTAACAGGCCTCTAAGGTAGAAGACTAGCAGATTGGAGCCATACACGAGGGACTATTCTGGTAACAGGCCTCTAAGGTATAAGACTAGCAGATTGGAGCCATACACGAAGGACTATTCTGGTAACGCGCCTCTAAGGTATAAGACTAGCAGATTGGAGCCATACACGAAGGACTATTCTGGTAACGGGCCTCTAAGGTATAAGACTAGCAGATTGGAGCCATACACGAAGGACTATTCTGGTAACGGGCCTCTAAGGTATAAGACTAGCAGATTGGAGCCATACACGAAGGACTATTCTGGTAACGGGCCTCTAAGGTATAAGACTAGCAGATTGGAGCCATACACGAAGGACTATTCTGGTAACGGGCCTCTAAGGTATAAGACTAGCAGATTGGAGCCATACACGAAGGACTATTCTGGTAACGGGCCTCTAAGGTATAAGACTAGCAGATTGGAGCCATACACGAAGGACTATTCTGGTAACGGGCCTCTAAGGTAGAAGACTAGCAGATTGGAGCCATACACGAGGGACTATTCTGGTAACAGGCCTCTAAGGTATAAGACTAGCAGATTGGAGCCATACACGAGGGACTATTCTGGTAACGCGCCTCTAAGGTAAAAGACTAGCAGATTGGAGCCATACACGAAGGACTATTCTGGTAACAGGCCTCTAAGGTAGAGGACAAGCAGATTGGAGCCATACACGAAGGACTATTCTGGTTACAGGCCTCTAAGGTATAAGACTAGCAGATTGGAGCCATACACGAAGGACTATTCTGGTAACGAGCCATAAAGGTAGAGGACCAGCAGATTGGAGTCCTACGTGAAGGCCTATTCTGGTCACAAGCCATAACGGTAGAGGACCAGTAGATTGCTTTCCATTTGATGAAATATCAGTAAATTTACAACTTGGCCCTTTTAGGAATCAATTCGAGATTTATCTGTATGATTTGACCACCAGTTTCTTCCTAAGTTACTGTTGGGTGCTCTGCCCTCTGAATTATGCATTATTTGCAGATAAGAGTCCTACACTGCTGGTCCTCTACCGTTATGGCTCGTTACCAGAATAGGCCTTCACGTAGGACTCCAATCTGCTAGTCTTCTACCTTAGAGTCTCGTTACCTGAAGAGTCCTGCGTGTAACGAACGAGCCTCTAAGGTAGAGGACAAGCAGATTGGAGTCCTACACGCAGGACTATTCTGGTAACGAGCCTCTAAGGTATAAGACTAGCAGATTGGAGCCATACACGAAGGACTATTCTGGTAACGAGTCATAACGGTAGAGGACTAGTAGATTGGAGTCTTACGTGAAGGCCTATTCTGGTAACGAGCAAAAACGTTAGAGGACCAGCAGATTGGAGTCCTATGTGAAGGCCTATTCTGGTAACGAGCCTTAAAGGTAGAGGACCCCTAGATTGGAGTCTTACACAAAGGACTATTCTGGTAACGAGCCATAACGGTAGAGGACCCCTAGATTGGAGTCTTTTACAAAGGACTATTCCGGTAACGACCCTTAAAGGTAGAGGACCCCTAGATTCGAGTTTTATACGTTCAAACCCTGACCCTGGTCATTTACGTGGATGGTCAGCTTTTTATCTCTTGCCAATATTGCACAAGGTTTACACAACTTCACAAAAACATGTAATTATACCAAAAGTGTTAAGAACAAATTGGGACATCACGGCTGTTTTACGAAATGGTGTCAATATACTTGATGACATATTTGACAAAAAAAGTATGAATATATCTTTTGAAATTGAACTTGCAAATTTCAAACTTTCACTTCACAAGATATTGTCTATTAAAAACTTGAAAATAGCGATATTCAAGATAAAGTTTACTGTTTGTTGTTCACGTTTTAATTTTCTCTTTCACAAAAACCACAACAGAGTGAGACGGTAAATGGGAACACTATCAACATGACAAGCATTCGCGCTAAAGAACATGTTTATCGTATGATTGTATAAAGTAAAATAGGCCAGTCGTTTAACCACTGGACCAATCCACCACTTATAATAAAATCATTTATGAACTTTAGTGGAAGCAAGGAACATACATCTATAGTCACTTACTGTTCACCTCCGACCTGTACCAGATTGACAGACTTGGTTTCACCAGGCTCAAATCGGACTGCATTTCCGGCTGGGATGTTCTGAATAAACCCATTACAGTATTAGATATCTCATACAGGTATACATGCACATTTTTAACATAGATCTCAATAATATTGTTTGAAACTATCGCTTGGAATCATAAGCAGCAGGGATATGCCGTGACATCTGCAGCCATATTTACAAAATAACAATAAAATTTGTTTACATGTTATAACACACTGCCCCTTTTGTTCCCGACAGGTTGGAATCCTCGGAGGACGTTTACATGCAGAATGCTTAGTATTCACGTGGTACATCAATCTCTATTTGAATAAGACGTGCACGGGCAAATGTTGATAGATTATGAATATCATTGCACGTGCTGAAGAGGTTTACAATTATAATTTATAATTTCCTGTTTTATTCTTAGCGCTGACGAAATGGCGTTTATTCATTTTACATATCAAAATGAACTAAACCCACATTTTAAAACATGGTTACGATTCTGGAGTAATTGCCTATACTTTTCTAGTGAATTGTTTTTACAAAATCTACATATCTTAAACTCAAAAGCAATAAGCTAAAACGAGTAAAAATCATCGCGCATGATAAAATGCATAATATCTATATGAACGTTCATGAGAAAACAACAGAAAAATATTAAAAAAAATTGTGCAATACTGAAAAAATCCATTTTACTTCCATTGGAACTTCTTATTAGGATACCCCATTTCGGCTGCCCCATGACACAAAGATTTTGTTATATCATGTGCGCCCGATATTGATTGTTGATTATACTAGACAAAGTACGTGGACCTGTACACTTGCAACTTATTGGTGTTTGCTTAATGGTTTTTGTTTTTAGGTTTTTATGAAAAAGAAATGATTAAAAGGATTTTAATACTCGACTTTTTCTAACTTGGCAATTGTGACTTAGTAGTTTATATTGCGGATTTCGACGGTATTTCATGCAAGTTTTAGAATCGGGTGTTCTATGCATTCTGTTCCGCATTTATGCAATTTGGAAACAACCAACATTTTGTTACATTTTGTTTCCAGTTTAAAAATTAATTACACAAAAACAAAATCTGTATTTTGTAGAAACCGTATTATCATAATTTTGATATAATCGTGATATATGCCTACCAGTACTGCTGACGGACAAACTTACAACACAGGGATTGACATGACGGGTGTCGTTGATGAAGTAAAAAACGCTCACCCTCCTTGAACACCTAGTTTTATAAATTTGGAGTTCGAATTTCTTGTTGTTTATTACAAATGCCAAAACAGCCAGAAATGAATTCTGCACTGTGCAATCGAAATGAAGTGAGAAGAATAGCATTTACGCAGAGGGAATCCCAAAGCAAATTATAAGGCTCTGCCGAATAAATAAGTGATTTCGTTTTTAAAATATAAAAGATTAGTATTTGTCCTTTTCTTATATGCTTTTAGCTGCGACAGCCGATGCACAAGTCGGATATTGGCGTTAAAATCAGTGTTGAGGGATCGTTTACGCTGCTGTTGCGTTAGTAACATCTAAGTCACGACCAATATTGAGGCATGGTGTTTTTTAATCAATAAAAACCTCATATGCTTTATATCTGCTTTGTCTTTGTTATTTGGTCACTTACAATACACTTTATATAGCAGCAACTAAAATATATTCAAACAATATTCATACTTAATTAATTATATGAATATGCAAACAAATTAATTATAATTTCAATTCCGCGGTGAATGAAACTTACCAGCCTCATTCCGTACGCAGCCCCTCGGTCAAACGCCAAGTCCTTGTTAACCTCAAGGAAGTGATAATGACTACCAACCTACAAAAACAATCCAAAAATTCCATAAACGATAAAATATCTTTATATGTACACTTCCACAAACGATATACATTGAAAGCATAAAATATAAATGTTCTAAATGATTATCATTATTATGTTTTTTCGTCAAATATCCACACAATACAAATTGAAAATTTAATATTTTGAAATAATTTTCCTTCTGTGGTGAATAAGGCGATGTGGCAATTCTTCGTATATAAACACCAGTTTACCTTATTTCAATGATGTACATCATATATTTAAAAAAAATTATCCGATCTTAAATTGAAAGACTGATGAATAACATTAGTCCTATAAATATCGGCGCAAAGGTATTTATTGTTTTGAAATATTCATTTTTATTAAAGTCATAAATTAACATAAAAATCAAATCAAGTAAACATACCTGAATTGGTCTGTCACAGGTACTGGTTACCTTGATTGTCACAGTCTTACGACCTTTATTGAGTTCAAGGTCGCCAGCAGGAACAAACATTTCGCCAGGAACAACATTAATGGGCGCATCAACAGAATGGTCGGAGGCCTAAAAACCAAATCCGTGACTTAAAACTCACACAAGATTTCGGAATAAGATTCATCAGTTTGGTATGAACAATAAAATCTAAGTTTATTTTGAACACAAACAGGAATTGATATCTTATTTTATGCGTCTGTTTCCTTTGTCAAACAAAGAGTGTAAACTGTTTAAACTCTTTGCTTGACAAAGGAAACAGACGTTTTCAAAAGCTCGGAAAATAGCTTTTTAAGTCCTGTTTTATGTTCAAAACAAACTTAGCCTTAGCACTCAAGACTGTTATTGATCTTAATGCTTAAAACATTGCGTTGCATAATTAATTGTTCTGTTTGTACTTAATCCAAGTTTTTGAAGAGACATTACCAGTTCCGTCATGTTTGTTACCTGTGGCTGTCTTATAATTGATATTATCATTTATTGAGCAGTCACTTACTGGATAGTCACCATAGGTAAGTTGGACCTCTCTTAAATAAACTTTCATTAAAAAGAAATGAGCATTGCAACATAAATACACTTCAACTGTTTTTATAAACAATATGCAATTACAAGTTAGTGGTCAAAAAGTCATACGTAATTTATTCCAAGCGCAACAAATATCTGTGTAGTATTCCAGATGACAGAATGTATACTGTACATCTTTCTACAATTTTCACATTATTTACTGAGTGAAAATATCCAATATTTGAAGGTATTTGGGACGTATTTCGTTATTAATTTTGAGTTTGGTGGAACATAAAAAGAAGGATTTTATAATTTTCACATGTGCAAAAACTGCAGATAATCCTATATCTATTATATATTATTTTTCACAGTGAAATTGGGTGGTAGGGAAATTGCCCCTTTTCTAATAAAGCATCACCCAATGCACTATATCTATAGCATTGCCCGATTCAGAAAGTCTGCATTGGGTGTAAAATAATACCTCCTTCACTTTCGCAAGACAGGATGAAAATAAAATTGTAGAAGCCTAAAATGTGCAATTCGATATCATGCAAATGCATGATCCTTTTACTTCAGGATGTGTGATGTTTTGAGTAATAATTTCATGCCTGGATGCACAGAGGAAGAGCTGTTCCAATAGTTTCAATACGAGAGTCATGGTTGATTGCACAGTTGTGTTCTCTTAGACAAAGGTTATAGAACTGGTTTACATTAACAACCAAATAATAACATGAATATTTTAGTTAGAGATAGGCCTCACACTGTACAATAAGACTGCGTCTTAGGTGCCTCGATATGTCATCTGATATATATATATGTGTGTGTAGTTCAATTTTGTCTTATCACATTAACTTCATCTTCCCTTACATGAGATGTTGTATATGATAGCACCATCCTCGATATCCAGGGGTTAAGCTCACTTTCGCTTTCTACACCCCTGAATATGTCATAGCAAAATCGAAGGCTCAATGTGCAGCACTTTGAAGATGAGACAAGAAAACTAGTTTGGTCCTTTGATGTACATCAAAAAAATATCGCGGTTGCGTAACAGTAAAAATTGACAGGCTTTGAAGTCGGACGTCGCTCCTTTGTATCTTCAAAGGACAAGTATTAGTCTAGTTATTGGTCAGTTTTTTTTCACCCGACACCAATCAAATAGCTAGCCACGTGCCTTCAACTTTGCTATGACATAATCCAGGGATGCAGAGAGCGAAAGTGAGCTTAACCCCTGGATATCGAGGATGATTATAACAATCAAGAATGAGGGCTGGGGTCCTTTCATATATCTTGATTTATACGGGGACTTTGTATATTTAAACGGGAACTGTTCTATATTTTAATCAATAAACGGAATGTTATAATGAATATATTGTATTCAATACATGATTACTATATATGTAAGCCCACACGGCATTGTTCATTCATATTAAACCATACATGAGCTGTCATATATCATACCCAACACAGGCCTGATAAGTATTAACTCACATACGATGTTTTAGATCTTGTTCCATACAGAAGCCATTATGTCTTTACCCATACAAGAATGTAATGTCTTAATCGATGGAAACCGTCACGCCCTAACCCTTTCAGAGGCTGGAATTGTATAAACTATATGATGTTATTATGTCTTAACCTGTATCCTAGCTTGCCTAAATGTATAGAAGTGATCGTAAGCCTTTGTTTTTGTTTCACAATTATAACTATTACTATTATCCATATGTTGTAAAGCGCTTTTACAAATTAAATAAGGGGCTATATAAATGTGGTATACTGTTGTTGTATATTATTATTATTCGAAATGTTATGTCTTAAAGCATCATGAGCTATTTTTTTTATATCTTATACTTTACAGTTCACATCTAGTGAACAAAACGTTCTGCAGTGGTGGCGGTGACGACTTGTCTACTTGTTTATACTTTCCTCCAATGTATAACTGGTCTCGCGCAGTGACTGCTATCCTAGCTCGACAAAGGTCATCCCCGATACTCAAGGGGTTTTGCTCGCTCACTTTTTCTCTCTGTACCACTGGAATATGCTATAGCAAAATTGAAGATTCATTGTGCACCACCTTGGGGATGAGACGAGGAGACTTGTTTGATCCTTTAATGTACATCAAAGAATACGTGGGTCGCGTAATGATAAACTTGACTGGCTATGACTCGCTCCTCTGTAATCTCCAAAGGACAGGTATTAGCTTAGCGATTGGTCAGGTATTACATATCGATACCTATTATACTGACACAAAAGGAATATGTTATGTTATTGAGTACAGTTTACAAAAGAATACATCATTAATAATGTTAAGAATGAAAGTAGTATGTTTTCTTTTGGACATGACTGTGTTTCGCATTAAATGATATACACAAAAGTATTGAATAATCATTCGAAGTATGCCTTTTGCATTTTTGAAATATGATTGACTGATGCCTTACAAAATTCTGTTAACTCTGATGTATTCAGTTCATACGTTATTTTGTCACCAAACAGTAGGTGAAATAATTCAAAGTCTGAATGAGAGTGTAAATATACACTAAAGATAAATTCACACGTATTAATGGCTTGACACCATAACTGATCTCGTAAGTCTTCTGTACAATCACATTGTAAAACTATGTGGGTATATATATCGTTATACATTTTCCACATTTATGACATAATTCAGTTTTTCTGAATGTCTTGGAGATACAATCCATTTCATTATACTATGTATGGCTTCTCTATTTTGAGGAAATTTATTAACAATTTCCACAATATATGAGGAGCCAAATTATTATGAACAAATATAAATCTGCAGAAATCGCGGTCACCACTTATTCTCTCCTTCCATGCTTTTTCTTCATAAAACTGTACATAATGCTTTACTTTTGCTTTCCATGTACTTTTCTCTGGAAATAATCCATTTGATGAACATTCTTGTACTAATTAGTATAAATCATGTTTCTTTAGAACTCTAATTACTCCATTATTATACACACAGGTCCCAATAACTGCCATGAAAATGCGAGTAAAAAACACAAGAAATGATATACAATCTTTCTCCAGGTTACATAATCTTCCAAACAATAACAATTTCTTGGTATCTGTGTATGCTTCTAAACTAAACCACCCCAGAAGGCATGTGCACATATCCGTACGAGTTCTTGTATGAAACCATTGAATTGACTTCAAAATAAAACGTTGTGCTCTTACTAACAATAAAATTTCGGTTTTTTGGAAGACACCATAATTCACACCCATATAGGGCTGAAGCATATACTTTTGATTAAAGTATTTTACTAATCGTTAAAGGATTTAATGCACATGCATGAGAACCACTTTTAATTAAACACATGACACCACTCTTAAGCTTATTACATGCGCGTACTGTACGTTCTATACTATTAAAATTATTGTTCAACATCACACCAATATGTGTTATATCCTAAACTTCTGGAAGAACATGCCCATATAGATATAATTTCGTATTAAGATTTCCCGCCTTTTTTCTAGAGAAATACACTATTTTACTTTTAACTGCAGAAAATGTGAAACGCCACTTTCTACTGCACGCTTCGCACATCTAAAGCATGCATTGTAAGCTTTTAAGTTGTGTACTAACCAGACATAAATTCTTAAGTTGGCAATAAGTACACCCTTTCCACTTTTTTTAATACTGTCTAATAAACTGTTTAGGAATACAAGATACATCTTGGCAGACAACGCACCCCCCCTGTACAATACCTCTCTCCGTACGGATCGATCTTGAATTTAAACCCTTAAATACAACACTACTTTTTACATCTGTGTGTATTACCTTCAAAATATGTCATGTCTCTGAAGTGACACCGAACAAACCATCATGCCATACGGTTTTAAATGCCTTCTTACTATCTAAAAACGCTACATAAACATCTTCTTCTCTTTCTACTATATAATGTATACATTATTGTAGATTAAATGAAATCGCTATGCACCGTCGCACATCACCTTCGGGGCGTAACAACTTACATCCATGATCGAGCACACTAGGTCAGCTCAGTCGCTATATATACATTCACAGCCATATTTATGACAAAACAACGAATGTGAAGTTTTATATGTAAATTATACTGGAGCTATTAACATAAACGACACTGGAAAAGTTACACAAATATTGCTTTATACTCGAAATATGTAAAGAAGCAGAAATCCTTAAGAAGGAACATCGTAATCAAATACCTCGTCTTTCGGAAGATTTTTATCGAACAAATCCATACTGGGAACTGGGAGAAAACTTCCATATAAAGCAAGTTCAAGGTCACCATCTTGTCGACAAATCGGCTTGTGGACTGTCACCTGTAAAATAATCAAATAATTTTCAAATTTGTTTACCATTGGATTGGTACCTAAATTTTATAAGAGCCTGTTCCTTTTCGAATTTGGAAAAAATAACATTATTTGTATTGAATTTGGCAATATCATCCTCAGTTTTGGGTCATTTTGGGAAAACAATGCAGTTTTTAGCTACGGCAAACAGCCTTTATTCAGCAGTAAAACTGAGCAAAACAATCACTGTTTCCCCATGGCTTGTAAAGGATTTAATACAAAAACACGTTATAGGCATGGTTTGTCAAACCACTAGATTTTACAGAATTGGTAAAAAAAAAAAAACGATTCCCAAGTGTTTTCAAATTTGTATATATACACACCAATTTTGTTCCATCATGGAAGGTTCCCTCCACTTGCACATCTCCTATCATGCTTGCTACACCCGGTAACACTTGTCTGTAACCTGAATAATACATACGTTATATGGTATGTTGGTGTTTTTTTACTGTCAAAAAAGCTGTATTAGATAGTGTACTTAGTGGAGGGTACAGTCATATAGGTGCAGATGGTTACGTATATCTAGGAAGTAGCTGAATGAATCCATGATTACATATATATAATCTTAAGTCTCAACTGACCAGCTATGCATGTACAAATAAAATTGATTATGATGGGTTCATGGACCTTATGATAGATGACGTTATAACCCTAGTAACATGGATTGTATTATATACAGATGCTAGCGATATGTATTTGACTCAGCCATGTGAGGAAGGGCAAAATATGTTATCTAACGTTAGGAATGAGATACCACTTTATAACCTGCCGCACAAACTATCTGATACACGAACTAGGTGTTCCACCATAGAGAAAGAAGCATTTGCTATCCATTACTATCCCCAAAATTTGGATCATTTCTTACACAACGCGGAATTCGTAATCAGGACCGATTACAAACCTTTGAAATATTTGTAAGAGGCACCCGTGCAAAACAAGAAAATTCAACTTTGGGCTTTAGGCATAGCCGGATATATAACTGCAGGATAGAGTAACGCAATTCCGAACCAACAATCTGCACAACAAAAGCACTAATGAAAGAATAGGTAATGGTAACACTGGTTCTTTTACACTCGGGGATTCAACACGTGTATGAAAACATTATCTTTAGGAAAATTAATAAAGTTACAATCACCCGTTCAAAATGGTTAGTAAATTTTCTAATAGATCTTGAACCAGACAATATGTTCTTGGATAGACTTTCCCAAGATATAAAGCGAACTGTAATATCTGCAGATCAAGTATTTTAGGCGACATAGGTAGCTGTACACGCAACAATATCTAAGCATCAGTACATAATGCAACCCAATGTTTACTGTCCAATTTCATTGAATACAGGAAATTACACGCTAAAACAAAACGTTCCATACTACCTTTTGTAGGAAAGGCTTTAAGTTTTCTGTTCGGAACAGTGTTGGATAGCGCCTTAAGCGCCATTAGAGGTCAGATAGGGACATTATCATCAAATCAACGAAAGATAAATCATGTCCTTAAGGAAAATCTAACAATTCAAAACATAACACGTACACAGGTTGAGGGCAACAGACGTGGTATCAATAATATTATCGAGAGTTTTACACAATAAAATGCGCGAATATTAACTTTTTCCAATGGGTTGAATCGAAGAGTGGGGAAGTTAAAGGAATGTATGCATATTTTCATTCAACTTGATATGGTTGTGGAAGAAATACGATATAGGCTACAAACCGCAACGTTTTACACAGAAAATTTGCGCATACATACATGCTTGCACTATGACATCTGTCACCTAGCGCTATTTCACCAAACAACTTACAAGAATTGTTGGTCGAATTAGACAACAAATTACCACTAACGCTTAAACTTCCACATAACAATATTACAAACTTAAGGGAATACTATAAATTGTTGACATGTAGTACTATAATGGAAGATGATAAGATCATGATCATAACGTCTTTCCCCCTTTTGGGTATTAATGGGAAATTTGAAATTTTTAAAGCCATTGACTTACTTACTACTGCCGATAAAAATGACTTCCAAATGTGATTCTCATACGAGTACTATGACCGCGAAATACCAACTAGAGGCCTAAGCTGTTTCATTGAATGTTGAAAAAAAAAATATATGTTATACTCAAGAACGATGAAGTGAGTCAGTGTTTCAAACGACGTGTTGATTTTTGTCAGACGCGCAATCCAGTCTATCCCACTAATCTTATCACAATTTGTATAATTGCATTCATAACTCAAGATAATAATAGAATTTCAAACTTCTGCACCACAATTGTAAGGCCTCTTGCTTCAGTACCTTCCACACCACAAGATATCGACCAAGGTATGGTGGTCGTGACTACCGTTAAACCAGCACGGTTTTCCGTAGTTTGTCAAACAGCTGATAGAAAAAAATCAACTAAAACCATACAACCTCCTACTGGAATTATGGAATTATGTCAAACTTGTTCGGCAACTAATGACAGGCTTAGTTTTTTACCTTTCTATGAAACAAAACGTGCATTCAATGATAAAGGGGATTGGGAGAATCTAGTTATGATAATTAATGTGTCTAAAATCAAACTATTGGAGCAATTTCATGACGCCTTACAAAATTTTACGGAAGTCGATCTCCTTAAAAACTTAAAGTAATCAAACAAATTGCATTAGGGACCTATAATCCCCCTTTTTTGTGTTTTTTTCTTTTATTTGCTTTCAGTTTAATGGTGATCACCTTGACACAGCCCATTTTGTGAGTTATACCATCAAGTTAGATATCAAGCGTCTCAGGTAAAGTTGAAATATTGAATAAAACCTAAGTTGTTGCGAACTCCGTCTTTGCGTATTGCAGAGTTATCTTCTCTTGTGAGCAAGTATTGATTGTTACGTCATTGGTTTGTGAGAGTAACGTCATCAATTTTTGGGAAAACGAAGTAATTTTCTCACACAAACCAATGACGTAACAATCAATACCTGCTAACAAGAGAAGATAAATCTGCAATACGCAAAGACGGAATACGGGACCCACGCGACATGTGGTCAGGGCTAAGAAGGATGACCTTAACTGTCGTCGTTAAAATAGCACGATGAGCTAGCTAATGATCATACAAATATCATTAATAGCAAGTTAAGCCATTAATTTTCATTCAAAATTATGAAAAATATCAGTTCGATAATTATGTCAAGCACGTAAATTTTACAAAACATCGTGTGTAAAAAATTATACACTCAAACCAACCAGTTTGATGGTGAAATTTAACTTTTTTACAAACAAACCGACCTGATATTTTCATATTGTTTTAAAAAATAAAAAAATATTACAGCATACATAGAAAATATAAGGTAATTTCAAATGATTTGTTTATATTTACCTATGATATTTAACACCCAATGTGTAGATTTTACTTTTGTGCGCTACCTCATCTTTTCAAGGTGAGACAGTGAATGTTAACACAATCTGGTGGAATCCTATCTTATTCTATGTTATCTAAACACCACCGATGACAAGTCGTTTTCTTATTGAAAATATAAAATATATTTTTGTTGCTTTATCCATTGGAGGAAATAAACATACTACAAAGATATCGTAGAATAATCACTAATGGGATTATGTAATTCTGTCGACGCCTCTTTCCATACGTCTACTCTTTCACAGATGTTTCAACATCACTAATAAATAAAACGTTCGGGATGCCACCTATAAACTTTTACTGCAAAACTAATTTTACATCCAGGTGCCAATTTTTTCCTGACATATTCCAGGGTGCAGAGAACGGAAAGGAGCTTATTTAACCCCTTAAAATTTGTAACTTAAACTGTGGGTCAAGTATATATTTTTATGAACAAATCTTACAGTCGCTCATAATTCCAGCAAACTACAGAGTAAATATCATGACTCCTGGCCTCGTGGTTGTGCAACGGATTTTTATGTACAAACTGAGAACGCGAAACGTATGCTCACACGAACTTTATTGTAGATGAGCTGAAATGGAGTTGTATCAACACTGATTTGATTTGAATTTACGTACTAGGAATACCTGGTCATTCAACATATGATCAGACTACATACCTAAGATGTCCCCTATACATCATATATACCACTTACCTAGAAATTCTCGTCCTCTAGACATTAGATATACCACTTACCTAGAAATTCTCGTCCTCTAGACATCAGATATACCACTTACCTAGACGTCCTCGTCCTCTACACATCAGATATAACTCTTACCTAAAAGTTCTTGTCCTCTACACATCAGATATACCACTTACCTAAAAATTCTTGTCCTCTACACATCATATATACCAATTACCTAGACGTTCTCGTCCTCTAAACATCATATATACCACTTACCTAGAGGTTCTTGTCCTCTACACATCATATATACCTCTTACCTAGACGTTCTCGTCCTCTACACATCAGATATAACCCTTACCTAAAAGTTCTTGTCCTCTACACATCAGATATACCACTTACCTAAAAGGTCTTGTCCTCTACACATCAGATATACCACTTACCTAAAAGGTCTTGTCCTCTACACATCAGATATACCACTTGCCTAAAAGTTCTTGTCCTCTACACATCAGATATACCACTTACCTAAAAGGTCTTGTCCTCTACACATCAGATATACCACTTACCTAAAAGGTCTTGTCCTCTACACATCAGATATACCACTTGCCTAAAAGTTCTTGTCCTCTACACATCAGATATACAACTTACCTAAAAGTTCTTGTCCTCTACACATCAGATATACCACTTACCTAAAAGGTCTTGTCCTCTACACATCAGATATACCACTTACCTAAAAGGTCTTGTCCTCTACACATCAGATATACCACTTACCTAAAAGTTCTTGTCCTCTACACATCATATATACCACTTACCTAGAGGTTCTTGTCCTCTACACATCATATATACCACTTACCTAGACGTTCTCGTCCTCTAAACATCATATATACCACTTACCTAGAGGTTCTCGTCCTCTACACATCAGATATACCACTTACCTAGACGTTCTCGTCCTCTAGACATCAGATATACCGCTTACCCAGAGGTTCTCGTCCTCTAGACATCATAAATACCACTTACCTAAAAGTCCTCATCCACTAGACATCAGATATACCACTTACCTAGAGGTTCTCTTCCTTTAGTGATCAGGTATAATACTTGACTAGAATCCCCTTCCTTTAGCCATTAGATATGCCACATATTAAGAATTTATTGTCCTCCAATCCGCTATACATCAGATAAACTACCTACCTAGAAGCTCCCTTCCTTTAGCCATTAGTTCGGATACAGAATGACCATCTCTAATCATCTCCTGGATCTGTCAGATAAAGAAATTTAAATACAAGATGTCGAACATCAAATAATACGTTGTATATTTTCGAAGGAAAAAATCCTTTGGAAAAAGTAGAGTTTGTTTACTCTTTCAGACAGAAGTCAGGCTTATCTACCTATTACAAACTGATGCAGAGAAACATTCCAGTACAAATAAATTGAAAAGGACACGACACAATGACTCCGCATTCAAAATAACTTTAAAGATTTAAAAACTTCTTTGGAAATTGTGCGATTTATCGAAATTTTGAAAAAGAAAAAAGATACAGTGACCATATTTTCGAAAGGTTGCAAGAATTTCGCGTTGTATCTAGAAGAAATTTCAATCACTCGAAAAATATTTAGAGACATGCCTTTCTATTTCAAATATTTACTCAGACACATGTCATGACTTCAAATACTTGGATATGTCACGCTTACAAAACAATCGGGAAAATAAATCTGACAGAAATGAAGCGGTAACGATAAAATATCATACCTGTGACGCAATAAGGGCCACCGCCTCTGGATGATTGAGTCTGACCCCCCGGGCGAGACGTTTCTGGGCCAGAGATCCAACCTGGAATACCAGCAGGCTCTCCCGTTCCCGTGGAGACAGCTTCATCGTGACGTCAATTCACAAGATCCAAGTTCAGAAGTATATGACAGCTGAAATTAAGCAAATTATGACAATATTGTAATTCCTTGAAATCATGATGACGATTGCCCATGGTGCCAATAAGCTACAGGACTCAATCACACTTAGCTGCGATAACGTAGCTTTCTGACGACGAGATTGTTTTTATAAATGCGTCGGTCGGTGCAGAGAAGGCCGGGTTTTAATATTAGTACTAAATCATACTAAGATATGTTAGTGAGGTTACAATAGACTTAATTAAAACAAGTACTAAACTAATTATAATGGCGGACCATTACAGAATTCCCCTAAACTGCCCCAATAGTCGCAAAGATACATCAGAAAAGGATCAAAATGGCATAAAACACCTTCATTCTAAATTTGAGTGAAATCGAACAATATCTGAATTTCAACGAATCTGAAGCCTCCATGTTGTTGGTATGGCAACGTCACTTTTGCATTTGAATTTGCAGACCCCTAATACCCCTTTATACCAATTTTCATAAAATTAAACAATATATATAAAAAAAAAATCACCAAAATCGAACAATATCTAAATTTCAACCAATCAGAAGCCAGTATATGGCGGCCATTTTGTCAAATGAGAAAACAAATGTCGCAGTTGAGCTTGCAATGCCATATTACACATACATACTTAATTTGAACGAAATCGAACAATAACGGAGTTTCGACCAATCAATAACCAGTAAATGGCAGCCATTTTGTCTAATTAGAAAACGGATGTCATGGTTGAGTTCGCGGTACAATCATACACCTGCATACCAAATTTGGAATGCATTGGAAAATATCTATAAAACATGTAAAATTGGATAGGTGACATTGGTTATCTTTAGCGAACACCTTTAGACATTTTATTTACCCAAAAAATACAAAAAATTATGGCGGCCATTTTGTTGACAATTCGACTTTAGAGCACGTCCTATACCGATAATTTCCTCCAAATTTTATTTTGATGCGCCGAATATAACAAAAGTTATGGCTTAAAATGTTTCAGCCAATCAGAGGCTGTGGCGGCCATCTTGGATGGTAATCGGAAAAAACAAAAAGGTGTTCGCACATCTAAAGGCTATCAGTAATAATCCCTCAAAGTTTGGTGAAGATCCGACTTCCAGTTTCTGAGAAAATGTGTCGGAAACCTTTACGGCGGAAAGTGGAAGAAGAAGAAAGAATAATAATAAGAAGAAGAATCGGAGTAAAAAAATAAGTCCGCAAACGAATTACACTGGTGAAGTGAAACCATAAGTAGAGCTGAACTACTCATTTGATAATGTATCTTCTTTCTTGACACGTTGAAAACTAAATTGTATAGAGAAATATTCCGGCAAGTGCACATCCTTAACGTATACAACATTTAATTCCCATAGCAAGGCGATGCTCCATGTAGAAATTCCTTCAATCGTATGTATGCTCCTTATTTTGATCACCCTTCCGTCACCATAAGATTCATCTTTTGAATTTTATTGAAGCATGCACTTTAACACCCTAAAGAAATCGTGATCATTTCGTGGAATAAATTATAGTCAAAATGACCACTGTATGATACCGCGTATAGCCCACTGGCTACTTGCTATGTATCGTACATTTTCGGTACACAGGTACGCAGGTGTGTCATCAATTAGTGCGTAACGAAATTATGCCAAATCTTTATCTTTAGCGAACACATTTAGACATTTTATATACCAAAAAACTTCAAAAATTCATGGCGAAAAGGGTCGGGTGTTTACGAACTCCTTTTAACGATTAATCACATCTCCAAAACATATTTTTCATTTATACCTTCAAAACATACAAAACAAGTTGACTTCACGTATGGTTACAACAAAAAACTTTCACTATGAATGAAAATAACCTTAGGGTTAGTTTTAAAACTATTCTGTATGGACAATTTATACAACAATGGTATACTGATATTGAAAATTCTTCCCGTGGTCAAACATATGCAATATTTAAACATCAATTTCAGTTTGAAAAAACTTAACTATGCTCAAACAAAAAAATAGAATAACTATCTGTCAAAAGAGACTGGGCGATGGACTAGAACACCACGTGAAGACAGAATCTGTCTGCTTTGTTTTACTGAAGTTGGAAGCGAGTATCATTATTTGTTTATATGCTCAAATGATTATGTAAGTCAAATCTGCAGAAAATATTTAACTATTTATTATACCTCTAATCCATCTGTTCATAAAATGAAAGGATTAATATCAATATGCAACGTTAGAATATTATCAAATATATCGCTGTTCATACAATTACTAGAAAGACAATTAAAAAATAATATGGGAATTTCACACATCAAACTGTATACTTTTGTATGCATATAGATATTACTGATCATTTTGTTAAACCTAACATAATCGTAACTATTTCTATATCGAATAGTTCGTAATTATTATGAAAGATAATTAGTTTTGTGGAAGATGGGAGGTAACTCCACCTCATACTTCTAGTAAGGCATTTATGTAAGATAAGAGTTATCGATCCTGTAATTCGTTCACTTCCGCTAAGACGATAAAAGACAGGTGCATGATATTAAGTTTTCAGAAAGTAATCTTTAAAATTTACTATAAATTTTATATTTGAATTTTGCTTGCATGGTATTTTTGAACTAATGGGTTTTAAGTTTTAATGACGATGTAAGCCAGATTGAAATATATTGCGGCGTATTTAATGAATCATTGAACCGATACATTTTGACCTTGATTGAAGTGGTCTCCATTGAACAGACAGACAACGTGGTCACGCCCCCC